TGTGCAGACAAACAGTGTTTCTCTTGGTGTTTCTACTTGGTTGGCATACTACAGCAGCTCTTGGTTGCCAGTAGTCACAGACGATGAAATAACATCACTTTGGCCAAATATCACGAGGTTCAGTGGCGCGATCACCTTGAAGCGACTCCTGTCGGCTTCGGTCAGGAGCTCCTGCGCCGCTATCAAGTCCATTGTCGAATCCTGTCAAACAGAGAGCCTTGAAGCTGTGCGCTCTTGTGTAGCTTCAGCTTGCAGAGGGCAGAGATGGATAGTATTTATTTATTTATTTTTTTGATAAATATGTGTTGGGCATGTAAGATAAGCAGAGCTCGTGTGAGATTAATATCAGCTGTGCTACACTCTCTTCTCCTTTTTGTTTTTTTTTCTGCCCGGCTGTAAAGCAAACCCCTCTGTCCCCGTTGCCCCCTTGTCTTGTGACTTGGCTTACACTGCTTTAGCAAGTCCGGGGCGTGTTTACAGTCGGGGCTTTTAGGAGTGTCTTGGCAGGCGTCTGAGCAGCCAATCAATCGCCCCACCCTCGGAGTACTATTAAACCTTAGAAAAATGGTTTGGTCCTGCGCCATTTTCCCTGAAATACGATGCCTGCCAAAGTGCTGGCGTGTAATTTTATTTCTCAGTGACACTGTGTCTGCAAGCTGGCACCCTCTGAGATCTTAGTTACCTCAATGGTGAGTAAGCGCACACTGAACACTCTGCTGTGATGTGAATGAAGGGATTCAGAGGAAATCTTAATTGATGTCACTGCTATTTTGGAGGTCTCAATGCTGACAGTTACCCAGAATGTCTGGAACATTAATTATTTTGATGATTCATAAGCATTTTCCTCAAGACCACTCACTATTAGTTCTACACGCATACAGCCACTTATTTGTCTCAAAGTATGAGAAAATAAATAGTATGTACAGTAAAAGTGAAGCCAGCAGCTGCATAAAGCTTACTGTATATAAATAAAGACTGAAAAATGGCAAGCCTGGCTCCCTCCAAAGGCAACACAATTCCGGTACCAACACCTTTAAAGCTCCCAAATTAAGATGTTGTATCTGGTATAATGTAAAAAATAACTTTGTGGTTTTAGGCGGCCTATGTGCTTGTCTATTTGTTGCATCTTATACAAAATGACCGTGTGTCTCCCAGCAGATGAGTACCTATTTGAGCCATTGTATGTTGCATTATCAGTAAAGCAGCTCACGTTAACACTAGCATCTGTATGCAGGGAATAGAACGTACTGTACATATGGAAGAAGCTGTTTGACTTTCCCTTCATGTGTCTCTGTTTTAATTCAAGAAGTTTGTAGCTGTTCAGCGTGTGTTCACAGATTTAGTCTGATTCTCTCTCAAACATTTCTGTAATCACAGAGTGGTTTCTCTCTGAAATCCTCCGTGCTGTGATTTGTTCCCGTCATCTTTACCTCCACTGAAAAAAAAAAAAAAAAACATCACAAAGAATGAATACAATGAATTCACTGCCAACATTGAATTCCAACCAATTACTTGCTAAGGATGTATTACGTGCCGGTGGAGAAAGGACATTCGCTTCTTACACGTCAGTATGTCGTGCAGACCCTGATCGGTTCTCAAACAATGCATCTTTTGAATTGTGCCGCTGCGCTCCAGTTTGGACCATTGGCCAATTTCTTTTGCAGCTTGTAGGCATTCATAACCGCAGAGAAATGAGGGAAATATACAGTGGTTTGACTTCAAAGAACCTGTGCTACTAACTAATTCAGCATGTTAAAAAACGGCAATAAAGCAGCCATATTGATGGAAGGTGTGATGTGATGAGCATTAGCAGAGGTTTTAGGGCCTTGCTTTGGTGACAGCCGGCTGATTAAACAGGCGGGTGATGAATGGACCTGGTGCCTGGCTGTGAAATGGCCTGCAGATGCCCGGCATTCTGCTGCAAGCATGTCAAAACACACAACTGATCTGCTGCATCGGAAAGCGTAAAAAAAAAATATATATCCCAAAGAACCGACTGCTGTCGATGAAAAAACAGAGCGAGAGAGACGGAAAGCTTTGAGTTTCTGTTGGAATTCGCCGCAGCTTGACACGACTGACGTTTGTTACTGGCTTGACCTTCTGCTCTTATCAGAAATCCATCTCGGAGTGCTTTGAAAATAACATTTTCTACCCTTGTCTGCGTGTTTCTTTATAGGTCAACATCTCAATCCAATCTTCCTGGTTACCACAACTCCCACTCAGTACCCCGACCTCAATCCTCCTCCCCCCCCCCCTTACACACACATATACACTCTGCCACTAAGTAGCCCCGGACCGCTCTCTGAGTAAAAGTTACTTGAGTTAGCTCTCTTTGGCTCATTATTCCATTGTCTGTCTAAGAGGATGTCACTGTGAATTATGTCAGACAGTTTTAATATGCTGAGGGAAGGCTGTTTTTGGATCCAGTGAATAGCCAAAAGTCAGGGGAGCCATGACAGTCGAGCTATGATATGTTCCCCTGTTGAGAGGAGAGATGGCACTCCTTTGTCTGCCATCGGCAGAGTCCACTGAGACCGAGTATAGCTCTCTTTATGAGCATTTAGGACATTTTTAACAGACTTAATTGACATTGAATCAAAAAACAGTTTCTGCTTCTCCACATTGGAACTTTATTTTTTTCCTGTCCTGATTGACAAAAGGAAGTCTTTTTTTTTTTCTTTTTTTTTTTAAATTTCGTATCCCCTCGCTGAAGTTTAAAGCCAGGCCGTCCTCTTCATTGACTCCAGATGTCACAACGTTTTAAACAGAAAGACGGCTGTTGATCTGGAAAGCGCCTAAGATTTGATTTTGGACAAGATTCGCCCTGTGCAGCTGGTTTTCACTCCCATAAGGGGAAAGCGATCATCTGCCAAAAGTGCCTTGAGTGTTGGAGGAACCATTTGTTTGTGAGCATATTGGGAAGTTTAAGTCGTGGGTTGTAAACATGTATTGCTGTTTACTGGCTCCATTTGCATTATGCACCACCTGGAGTGTTGGAGATAAACTTACCGCTGGTGTCTTTTTCTTACTGTCAGAAATCTCTAAATTTGAAAGCAGCTCGCTTGGTTATACATGAGGGAAATGCTGTAAACAGTTTAACTGCAGCAAATAGTGGTGATGACGACTCCAGCTACGAAGCAGTAATCTTATTTGGAGAAGCAAATGGAGTCCGTGACCCCCAGTGTTTTGGCTTGGGGAGCACATCAAGTGTGTTTTTGATATGTTTGGAATGGGAGGCAGTAGATAAACAAGATGGTCAAAGTCTGCAAAGGGTTAGAACTATGTAAGCAATGGACGCACAAATATTTGATTGCATACATCTCGTGTCTTTGGTGACCTCAAGAAGATTGTTAGTCGCGTTGATATTTACCAAGTGATAACATCCACCGGTCCAGCTCCACATGGACTCCAACTCAGCTATTGTTTCTCTAAGGATCACAATACTTGAAGGCCTTGAAATAAACCATAATCATGGCTTCGTGGACCCTTTGCTAAGGATAATTGCCTTAAAGGGATCAACGTGTCCATTGAATCTCTACTTCATCACTAACTACTTGAGGCTGCAGGGAAGGCAGCGACGTGGGAAAAAGTAAGTAATTTGACTCGTGGCCCACTGCTAAAGAGATCCACTTGAGGAGGGTTGGGGAGCAGCAGAATGAAGGAGTTTTTAGATTGGCGTTGAGTGGAAGAAGCTTTTTCTTTTATTTTTATTTTTTTTACATTGCTGTCAGTGCAGTGCAGAGCAAAGGGAGAGCCGGCCAGCACAGGAACGTGTGGACGTGGCTCACTGGCGTTCTCGTGGAGCTACAGTAGCTGCTGGCTGCTGCTGCTGCTGCTGTGCGAGAGGGATAAACAGAGAGGACAGGAGTGAGGCGTACAGAAATGACAACATGCTCAGTGAGAGCTTCCCCCTTTTGTACCATAAATTGATTTGACGGAGGCTCACCGCTATGTGCTGTGCTGTGTGTCGGATGTAATGGGATGTCCGTCCCCTATGTTCTCGTTTCCTGTTAGATTTGTGGCTTTCTGCGAGGCCTTGACAGAGACTCACAGATTTCCTTGGAGTACTGGAAGTAGTAAAACACGAGTTCAAATGTTGTTACTTTGCCGATCGTATATTTGTGTTTGGCCAACACATTGGAGTGGGAGTTATTTTGTGTTTATGTTGTACTCAGTTGTGGTTTTGGGGTTTAATGATTTGTGTTTAATAACGCAAAGCTACCCTCTGAAGTAGTTTTTTTTTTTTTTCTGGATTCAACATCAGCTCAAGTTATGACTCAGCATATGGCTTGTTATTTCTCCATTAATATATTTAACTTGTGGCCTAATTATCGTTACGCAGGAACTTGCGTTCTCTTTTCAAGGATAATTAATGATTCACATCCGGTGCACAGAGCCAATTGATTGAAAATGACGACTTCATCGATTGGCTAATTAACAAGTCTGACCCATAGACTTGCATGAGATGCAGCTGATGGCACTTCTCATATCTCTGCACAGGACAATCTCCCAGCAAGTTGTACTTTTCTTCAGTTGTTTTTAGTGCTGTCAACCAATAATTATAAAGTAGTGAAGCTTGGGATTAGTATGCCAGTAACCTGATTAAATTTGTTTTTAACGTTACCATTTATAGCATGTCTGGTTGGATATGAAAAACTAATCATGCACGGGATGTTTTCAGCATCATCACAAAACCAATCCGTTTGACAGTTATTTTGTATCAAATAACAGGAATAAAACCTTTTTTTCTAATCTTGAGATGAAATTTTGGAACCCTTTGAAATGCTCATACACTCCTCAACATGCATTTTAAATCCTAGCACCGTGATATGGAAATCTTTGATTGTTTTTCTCCCTGCAGAAGGCAAAAAAATAAACTTTAATTGGGGACCTCTGTGTGCGTTCTTGTACTTCCAGGATATGTTCTGTTCCTCTCTGTTCTGTCCTGCTATGTGATGATAATCTCCAGAGTGTGTTGTTTTTTTCATGCTGTTTCCCAGATGCGAAGGAGAGGTCGGCCAAGAGATTCTCAGTGGACGGCGTCTTCAATTACACCTCCTTGCTGCTCAGCCAGGAGGACGACATGCTGTACGTCGGAGCCAGGGAGGCGCTGTTTGCCCTCAGCCTCTCGGACATCAGCAAGACCAAGCTCCAGAAGAACGTGAGTGTGTCAATACGCCAAGTGGATTATCGGAGGAAATATTGCAGTGAAGAAGTGGGCTGGCAGATCATTTACCCTCACTTCTGTTCATTTTAAGACTCATTAGGGAATAGTTTTATCTGAGTTAATAATGCAGTTTGTAAATATGAAATAATCAGAATTAAATACCCACCTGTCCTGTTTGTTTCCATACCACACACCAGTTCTTTGTATACATTTTGATATTGGGAGAATCAGTCCTCAGCAGAATCAGCATGGTTCCCTGAATTTGGCATGACTTATTCAGGGTTTCTTTTTCATCTTCAGCTGACGTGGGGCACTCCTGCCGGAAAACGAGAGGAATGCAGCTTCAAAGGGAAGAACCTGGAGGTGAGAGGCACTTTTTATACAGCTCCAGCAAAAACGCCAAATCCAGAAAATGCCTCGGGAAGATACTTGTGTAATGACAATATTGAGAGCCTGGGTTTTCTTTCCTCGCAGTCTTCTCTGAATCGTTTCACTCGTGTCGTGAGAAGATGAAATGAGCATTGGCTGCTGTGTTGACAAAACCTTTCCAGCAGTTACAAATGCATTCTTCAAGTGTGCACACTCACCAGGGAATTGTTCTTGTCTGTGCACTGCTTCTCTCTGTCTGTCTGTCACCTTGTTGTCATGCCAGCTGTTTTATCCCTAGGCGACAACCCTTGGTAATCTTTACACTGCAGTGTACAACTCTGGTCTGTGTATTACAGAAAGCCCACCTGTGATGCTGGGAGGTTTTCCCAGCTGCGTTTGAGAACAATTTTATTTAATTTTTTTGAAACTACTTCTATCCAGTTTCACAGTTTTTGAAGTATTTTGTGTTTTTTTTTTTTGTTTTTTTTTTTCTTTTTGCTCCGATAGATTCACTTCTGATTGCGAGCTCCAGTTTTCCAGGCACATATTTGAAGGAGCTCTCCAGAAAAACACATTCAGTTGTAAGAATATCTTGTGGACTCATGGACCTCACACTCTCTCCATTTGTTCCCCATCCAGACTGATTGCTTCAATTACATCAAAATCCTCCTGCGGCTGAACAGTACTCATCTCTATGTGTGTGGCACCTATGCCTTCAGTCCTATTTGCGCCTACATAGTAAGTAATGACCTCTCAATCCCATTGTTTACTTCCAAGAGTGATTCGATTTGTATTTCTCTCCACTCACTAGAGCAGCTTTGGACTTTGATTTTGTGTGTGTGTGTGTGTGTGTGTGTGTGTGTGTGTGTGTGTGTGTGTGTGCGTGCGCGTGTGCGTGCGCGTGTGTGCGCGTGTGCGTGCGCGTGTGTGTGTGTGTGTGCGCGTGTGTGTGTTCTGGAGGAATCGAGCTCTTTTATCCACCATGGCCGTATTGGATCTGCTGGTATCCAAGCGTAACCAAATGCTGCTGAGGCACTTTAGCCAGACAAGTCAACAGGGGGTACACAAGCTGTGTGGTTTACAGCAAGAGGGAAGCAGAAGATCTGTGTATCTAGCAGTGGAGTACATCTGGAGTGATGGTAACCGGCAGCAGGATGACATTGATTTCAGCGGTAGGGGGGGGGGGGAGATCAAGCTTGGCGACAGCTCGGCTCTTAAAGGGGGGCATTAAACTCTCCCCCTTGACGTCAGAGTGAAAGAACAACACGGGATTTCTCAGACTGTATATCACTTGGCAGGACTTTAGGCCCTGAACTGGGATTCCAAGCAACTCTGAGCCCGGTTTGTCCGGGTCAACACTCGTCATGTTGACTGAGACCAGAA